GGACGGTTCCAGTTTTAGAGCTTGATCGTGCTTGTCAAGGGCAGTCTCATATTCATCTGATTACGTAGGATTTTCTCGATGTTTCTAGCATTTTCTATTTTAAATTTTCAGTTTCAGTTGAACTTTTGGTTAGGGGTCCACCAGTGGATTCCCAAGTTGTAACCTTGAAGTTTTGGGAGAATTGGAGTTTTATTATTTCAGTTATGCATGGAGGGTTTTATAATTAATGTTTCTTTCAGTTTTATTCCATCTTTATTATTTCATTTTGTTATCTGTGTTCGCTTTAAAATACTTTAATTGTTTGATATTCCCTCGGGTTTGGGCCTGGGCCTGATCAACCCGTGTCTCGGATCCGAGGGGTATCACATAACCTTCATGGTAATAAGAATGATTTTTTTCACGACCATATTCGCCATTATGACCATTTTGATTACCACGACCATATTCATTGTCATTTTGACCACCACGGCCATATTCACTACCACGCCCACGTCCATGTCAATGTCCACGTCTAGAAAACGAGGAAACGTATGTTTCGAAGATTGGTGTCGATCTAGTTAGAAGGGACTAGTGTTTTCTTAATAAAAACTCGTTATTTTGTTCAGCCACAAATAAACATGATATTATCTTTGAATATTTTTTAAAGCTATGCTCTGGATATTGTTGCTGTAAAAGCACATTTGAGGCATGAAATATGGTGTGTATTTTTCCAACAGGAGCTCAATAGTGATAGTATCACCACATTATTTTAGCGCAAAGTTGATTTTAAATAGAGTAGAGTTATATTCAGCCACAATTTTGAAATCTTGCAACTGCAGTTGCTGCCAATTGGCTCGAGCTTTTGGGAGGATAACTGTTTTCTGGTGATCATATCTTTCTTTCAAAATTTTTTACAAATTCAGTGGATCTCTTTCAGTGAGGTATTCAGTTTTTAGCTCCTTACTAATATGGCAACGAAGGAAAATCATGGTCTTTGTCTTGTCTTGTGACGATGCATCATTTTCTTTTTGAATTGTGATTCCAAGACCCATGACATCTAAATGGATTTGAACATCTAGAATCCAAGATAAATAATTTTTGTCGAAAATGTCCAAGGCCACGAATTCCAGTTTTGTCGAGTTTAACATTTTTAGAATAACTAGATGTAATAACAATATAAGAACACAATTTTAGCATAGTATAAAAATAAGCGTATATCTTAATAAAATGGCATTAAGTGAAAACAACAAGATAATATGAACTATTATAATTTAAGCAATAAAGACAGTAAAACCAGACGTTAAATCATTAAATAATGAAGGCGGTAAAACCGACCAATAAATAATGAATGTAGTTAAACCTACCATTAAATAATAAAAGTGGTAAAACTGATCATTAAATCATTAAATAATAAAGGTGGTAAAACCGACCATTAAATAATAAATACGGTAAAATCGACCATAAATCATTAAATAATAAAGGAGGTAAAACCGACCGTATTGTGAGCACATATATCACTTAAGTGAACAAATTAATTAATGAACAATCATAAATAAATAAAATTTTCTTACCCTTTAGTGGGGTAAGAAGTACAATTTTTTCAGTAAAGTAAGCAAATTTAATAATCTATCAAAATTAATATCACAAGATAGATATATAAAGTTGAAATAGAAAGAGGAAAAGAGAGCTTCTTTTTCAAGTCTCAAATGGTTAGATCTCGTCCTAATAACGTATTATAAAGTAAAAGAAATATAATGAAGGGCGAAAGATAACTACAAACAACCAAGAGAGAGGAAGCTGCTATGATTCAATTATTTTCATCCAAGTACATACAATACAACAGTACTCCTATTTATTGGAGATGATGCCGACTAAGGCAGTCATATGCACCAATCATATTTGATTCCTTCGTCAATACAATTTTGGGCGCCATCATTACCTTTTCTAGTTGCTTTTCAATTTGTATATTTACAATCCAAATGTATATGTACTAACAATGCATTACTAATGTGGAGCCCACATATTGTAACAGCATTAATATCCCCTCTAACCATTTTGGGTTAACAGACCTTACAAATTAGGGTCAAGTTACTCTTGTACCCCGATTATTTAATCTAATTTGTAAAGGGTAAATTAATCCTAAATTATCCATGGGTTAAACTAGCTAAAAAAACGTGGTCTCTTGAGATTTTGCATAACCACTTTGACTACTCCGGGCATCCTCAGGGGTAAGTCCATTAGTGGAATAATTTTTAAATGCTGAAAATATTTTTAAATGAAATGAAATGACTTTAATATCCATTTAATTGACCAAATAGTCAAGGGAGGGAGTTACTAGCACTCATATGTACGCATTCTTCTAATTGTGTTGATGCATATTGAACATTGTAAGTATGAAGAGTGCGCAAAGTGACAAGAGCTACACATAGAGGGAGCGTACACATGAAGGCCTGGCCAATGAGGAAATTGGTCTGGGGAAAGTGCTGACACTTATATGTGTTTATGCCTCGTACATATGTTAAATGTTTTAAAAATGAGGAGTAAAAAGGATAATATTTAAACAACAAAAAGTGAATCATGACAAAGTACAAAAAGGTGTTGGACAAGTGATGACAGTGGTCAGTAGTTGAGGGAAGGTTCTGTAGACAGAAAGTAGTATTAGAAGGTGAAAGCTAGAAAGGATGGTGCCACTGATATAAGAAAAATGTGAACGAAAGAGAGAAGGAAAAGAAAAAAAATTGATCAACGGAAAGATAAAGTTCAAGCTTAGAAATATCATATATTTTTTTACAATACCACTACCACCACTTCAGTTTCACATTTTGACATGCATAAATTTTACATTTACAACTACGTTGTGATTATTAATTCCTATGTTCAATAATCAATTAATACTTTGTAAGTATGAAGGTTTTGTGATTTAATAGTACTTTCTTTATCTTCCAAAGTGAATGATGAGGGTTTGAATCTCTAAATGAACAAAATGGGTATATGAATTTCTTACCGATGAAAAAATAAAATAAAATAAATTTAATACTTTGGTAATAAGGAATGTGGATACTTAATTAATTAAAAAAAAAAAGAAAAAAAGAAGGGGGGTGAGAAAGGAATAGATATTCAATGTGTCAAATGCACTGGATTAATCAGAGTCATTTGTGACGTACACGTGTCGATGCGTATTGCACATGTGCCGGGGCGTATTGTACACGGACGGCTCTGATTAGCCTTATGCACGTTGCACCTGGCACATTGAATACCTACTCGTGAAAAAGGCTGTTTACGAATCCCCAAAGTAAATAAAAAAGAAAGTAAACTAACTAATATGTTTTTAATTAAAATTGACAAATGCAAAAAAAAATTGTAACTTTTCACATTTCAGCCATTAAGACTTTGTTTGGATAGATGGAATCAACTAGAAAAGAAAAGAAAAAGAAAAAAAATTTAAATTTAATTTTTTTTTTGAGTTTAGATAGAAGGAAAGAGAAATGTATAAAAAAAAAATTTAGTTTTTCGCACTTTACCTATTTCCTCTCAAAACTTTTCCTGCACAAAACATGCGAAAATAATATTTTCACGTGAAAAGAGTTCATTTTTATTCGATATTCATATTTTATCCAAAAATTTAATCGCACGAAATAACTTGCCAAAAAAAAAGAGGCAACTTGTTTAGTGGTTTCTTTCTTTATTTTGACTAGGTTTCTTTGTGTTCTGGAGCCATAAATTGTTGGAAACGGAGCATACAAAATAGAAACTTTGGGCAAAATTTTGAGTATGTCCCGCTAAAAAATTCTTGTGGATTTATAAACGAACGCATTTCTCTCCGCAAGGAGATGAACGTGGTACATTTACTTTCTCAAATCCGTTTCTGGGTGAATGAGAAATTAGCTTTAAAGTAAGATGTTTTATAAGCTTAAATGGGTATACAAAATGTAAGAAGCGGTTGTCCCACATTAAAAATAAAGTGAAACCAATTGGAATATATATAGCCCAAGTTTGGAATTTGGGTTTTGGGTCCAAGGGCACCTAAGTTTTTAAGAGGGACCTAGGCAAGTTTGCAGACATATATATAGTTTTAGAGTGTCAATTTGAGTCTTATACTTAGAGAGAGTACTTCACCGAGCCGGTTCGCCCATTTCTCAGAAAGGTCGTTGTATTCTGGGAGACATATGTTACAGAGTCCGTCAGCATTTGTCTTAAGGAGAAAAAATTCAATTCTAGAATCGGTCTATTAAGAAAGGTCACTGTATTCTGGGAGACATATGCTCTCACGAACCCAAGACCAACCTGAACACGGATGGATTTGAGACAACCCAACCCGATTTGAGCTCAATTTGTAAATTTAGAAGCCCAAGTCCCAAAAATTTTGGGCTGGGTTCGGATTAGACCGGGTTGCCCAAATTATAGCCCTATTGTAAGCACAAAAGACCTTACGTGTAGCATTTAAAGTCAAGGACACCTCTAAAAAGATGTTCTAAATAAACTTCTTAAACTTTTGGAGTCTAAGTTAATTTACACACATGTAACAATTTCTCCACTTTCAGGTCAGATAATAAATTCCAGATCGGTGGCAATGGTGTTAGTGGGGCATGATTGCTTATCTGCTTCTGCTATGAGGCTCCTTCATTGGTGATACTAGGATCGAGATAGGCCCAAGGCAAAGGTAAAACCTCTCCAACGAAAAAAAATTATTACATGATCCCAAAACCATTGATCCTAACCAACCAACACTTGACACATCAGCAAACTAGCTACTGCAAGAGTATCATGTCTGCAGATAGGGGAGTGTCATGTGCCACAATGGATAGGGAACAACGAATGGATGGCAAGTGTCCCGTCCATGACAAAGACAAACTGCTGTGGAAAGCATCCAAAATTCTTAAGAAATTTTTTTTAAAAAAAATTTACCTAGAATATAAGCTGAAGCAACATCTCGTTTTCAAAATCAACTTTCTAAATTTCTAGTCAAGTTGGTTTACATGGGTAAATTTTTTGTGCCATTGCAAACACCAATTGTCTAGTCATTTACCAAATCGAAATTTCATTTTTCAACAACAATACGGATAGCATGTACATTTCAGTATCCATAAAGAACAATTGACCAGAGACAATTCAAATAACACATTCCCATTATCACCAAGCCAGTTTCTTTATATAAACTGTTAGCAAACAGTACGGACAAAGCTGTTACTTCCGAAATCTGGTTCATTAGGAGCAGAATGCCTTCTCCAACAACTCTTGCAATTGCCCATTCTGATATGCCTCTGAAACACGATTAATTTACATCTTAGGACTAGTCCACAAGAACGAAAATTGAAAAGCAATTGACATGTTTCCTTATGAAAAGTACAAACTTCCACAACCAATCGGCCATTACTCCAATGGTATAACCTCTCCTCTAGGGAGGTGAGGGGTTCGAGCCCCGTAGTGGGCAATTTGTGAAATGTGTGTGTGACTACTTACCTAACCAAAAAATAAAAATAAAAAATAGCGTACGAACTTCCACACCAATGGGAATTAGCCCATATTGTATGATCATTCCGCTCCAAAGAGAAACTTGAGCGTTCAAGCCCTGCTTGGGGCAAAATTGTGGGTGGGTGTGTGTTTGCTAAAACCAACGCATTGATGACAGAGAAATCCATACAGCTTACCATTAAAAACATGCATATGAAATATTATACTTCCATAATTATTTTGAATTGATGAAACACCTACTAAAGCAAGAAAATTGATATATTAGTTTAAAGTAATTAAATTAAAACATCATAATTCTAGAACACAAGAGTTGTAGCTCCATTAATCCACTAGATGTGAGGGTTCAACAAAAAATGTTTTTTAGTTGTGACAAAAGTGTGTAGGGATATTCAAAATTAATTGTGTGAGTTCTTAAGGATGAGTAGGATGCATGATAATAGAAAACACAATGGATCCAGCAGGTACTTGGTTACATGGAGAATCAGACAGATTCAAGTAAAGGGGGCTGGTAGTTGGTGTATAGACAATAACTTCTTTCAAGTCCATTAGTGGTGTCCTCTAATGCTCCTAGGACGAGGACAGTGTTTCTTCTGCCAACGGATTAGTCCATCCATGAGAATATATTATCTGTTTACATATATTATCTGTTTACCTAAAGCAAGAAAATTGATATATTAGTTTAAAGTAATTAAATTAAAACATCATAATTCTAGAACACAAGAGTTGTAGCTCCATTAATCCACTAGATGTGAGGGTTCAACAAAAAAATGTTTTTTAGTTGTGACAAAAGTGTGTAGGGATATTCAAAATTAATTGTGTGAGTTCTTAAGGATGAGTAGGATGCATGATAATAGAAAACACAATGGACCCAGTAGGTACTTGGTTACATGGAGAATCAAACAGATTCAAGTAAAGGGGGCTGGTAGTTGGTGTATAGACAATAACTTCTTTCAAGTCCATTAGTGGTGTCCTCTAATGCTCCTAGGATCATCTTATTCATAATGGCGTCCTTCAAGAGAAGGTTGAGTTTCCACACAGGTGTAACATGTATTGGAATGGAACCCTGACTTTCCCTTCTACGGCATATGTAGTTTAAAATTCAACTACATCGGTTTGCATGGATATATACTTAGAAAGTAAACCAATAACTGATAGAGACTTACAACAATCAGCCTGATTGAGCAGCAATGACGCTAGCAACATATTATAGAGCTGGAAATGGTAAAAAGTGATTTCAAGCAGCATCAAGAGATAACAGACTACACTTACCAACAGTGATGTCACAGCCACCAAAGAACTCCCCATCAATGTATAGTTGAGGAAAGGTTGGCCAATTGGAATATTCCTTCAATCCTTGACGTAAAATTTCATTTTCTAGTATGTTTATTGTTTCAAAAGGCAAACTCTGGGATTTCAAAATCTGCACAACTGTGTTTGAAAATCCACATTGTGGAAACTCCTTGGATCCCTTCATGAAAAGAACCACCTTATTTGATGTAACAACTTTATCCAAGGTAGTTCTCAGCTCAGGAGTTAAAGCTGCAAATTCATGCAACCCCACACACATGCACAAATAAGAAGTTAGTAATCTTGTTAACATTTTATTCCAAAAGGGAAGGAACTGCAAGTAAATAAAATGAACCAATGGAGAGAGAGAACCAATGTATGTGAGCACCACATGCATAAATGATAAAGACTGTATACATGAGATGGACATTGTGGTCTAATTTCCTTCAAAGTGTCTAGCATGTCTCACTTTTCATATTGCTTCTGCTAATTTTCATGTCAAATTTATTTGGCCCACGAGTTTGTTTGACCAGCATCCTTGCTAAAGGCTTTCAGGAATAAATCCCTTAGTATCAGAAAATGAAAATATCAACGGATCTACCCGCCCCCACATTTAATTATTTGTTCAACAACATATATATATTGGGTGTGTTTGTGTGAGCAGTCAGGTGGGTAAATCTTTTTCCAGATATTCTTAAATGTCCACTATAACTCTACTTTATCATCTTTGGTGGATAAAAGTATAGCGCAGATTGCTTATCAAGCAGATTGCCTACATATTTATGTATATCTCTCTGACTTTTTATTGCCATATCTATTAGATGATTTAGATCTAAGAGTAAGCGAGCATTACAGCATTGACAAAATGCAAAAACTCTCTAGAAACTCTACAAAACTGATACTCGTTCCATTTTTCCAAGTTCAAAGCTTCTCTACCATTACTTTTTATTTTTATTAGTTTCTAGGTTACATCTACTAGTTAACTAAGCTAAGCTCAATTCAATAATGTCTTGTCCAAATTATTTAGAGTGGGTTAAGGAATCGTGTCAGATCATTCCACTCTACAAAATCTAATAATTCATCCAATAAAATGAAAAGGAAAAAAGATCTCTAGTTTTCCTGCTTTCACACACTATGAAAATTGAACATTTGCTTACATGTAGAAACATAAGTCATCTTAAAGAATCCAAGCACAACGATTCGAAAATTTCCATATGTGCACAGTGTCTGTTTACCTATACCATCCATTACATGGCTAGACAGCTTATTACATCCATTTTCTCTCTAATGCGTGTTTGTCACATCAAAAAGACTTTTCTTCTAGGAGACTATTGGTGTGATGTTGGGTTAACTGCTTGTGTCAGAACGAGTGGTTAGGAGTAAGTCTGTATCAAATTACAGAGCTTGCACTTCTTCCTTTTCCAAGTAAAAGTCATTCACTTGCAAGTGTTGGAAAGTCACACTCGAGCAACTTAACTACCAAAACCTCCGGGTCCAACGAATAAGTTTATAACCTCTAAAGCCAGGAAAGCAACCGTAAAGTGGTACTTTTATGTTTATGTGATTATACCTGTGTTGTTCATTTCTTTTTACTAATTTATTCAATGAACTGTACTCACAAGGCAAAGAGTTGGAGTATTATCCTATAGCTCATCTGATTATGCGCAGCTCGAAGTTATGATCCTCTGGATTTAGAGTTGGGAAATGAGTGAAGAAGGGGACAGAATTGAATTCATGTTCTCCCGATTGTAGGAAGGGACTAGAACAGTTGTTAGGGTTCATAACATATGTACGACAAAGACAAACAAATAGTTCAAAACAACAGCAGTCAATCAATCGAACAGTAAGTCCAAAGTTTCATCGTGACAGCAAGATTAAATAAATAAATAAAAAAGAAAATTCAGAACAGGCAACGTTAATATTTACCGGATAAGCATCGAGTGGAAGTGGAGCCAATCCTTCTAGGGCGGACTCCGATAACAATAGAGCGTCGGAATGGAGCAATAGAGCATGGGGAACATCGGAATAGAGCAGGGGCGGCTACAATTTGGCGCACCGGAGCGACAAGCAAGGGATTTGTCGTCCAAGTGGAATGAAAAACTATCGCTGTACTTGCCATTTTCCTTTTCCTCCGCAATCCCGACCCCAAATGCTCCTCTTTGTTCTACCAAAACAGTGGCCCCACAAATGACTACGAAAACAAGAGAGAATAAACAATGTAAATTACACTTGCACCCCTTCACACTAATCCTAATTACGTAGCCACATAGTTCCGTCATAATTTCTCAAACTCAATCACCTTCATCTTTAAATTTCTACCAGGAGCCTTCATCTTTAAATTTCTACCAGGAGAGTGGCTGCAAAAATTAAAACCTTGAAGGTGCTCTCCAAAGCAGGAAGGAATACTCCTATTAAATCAGTCTTAAGCACTGTTCGTAAATACTCTGTCATCTTTCAAAATGTCCATCAACCTTTGTGATCAGATTACGAGCAAATTGAGAAATTTCTGGTGGAGGGGTAAAGAAGACGGTTCTAAGATGAACTGGGTGAGCTGGGATAAAATGTGCGAGACTAAAGCTACTGGAGGGCAAGGCTTTAGAAACTTAAGAGGCCTTTAGCCTAGCTCTTATGCCCCAAACACACCGATTTTCCAACCTGCTCTTTCCTTCAGTCGAAGTGCAATTCTGGTTACTCATGGGTTTGGAGAAGCCTCAGCTACAAAACATATAATTCAGCAAGGAAAGAAATGGACAGTTGGCTTAGGCCATTAAGTCAATTGTTGGTCAGAAAACTGGATTGCTGGAAAGGACAATTCTAAATTCACAACTCACAAACCTCCAAACAGCTGACCTGATTAATCACGATTTAAAGAGATGGATGTCTACTACTGTAAAAGCTTTGTTCAACTAACAGGACAACCAAGATTCTTCAAATGCCAATTAGTCAGGGAAGAATCTTATTATCTTTTATCTCTTTGTCTCCCCAACCATAGAAGTTTTTTTTTTTTCTTTCCTATTTTCGCTCCACTCCAATTGTTAAGTCCGAATAAGACTAGAATGCACAAATTTCAGTAACTAAGGAAAAAAAAAAACAAACATTAATCATTCAATTCAAATACCTACCTCTATATATATATATATATTTTATTAACATAATAATGAAATGTGTCAAACCTTTCAAAATTAATAAATAAAATAAATGATTCAATACAATCAACCAATTTACCTACAATTCTACATTTTGTAGATCAACGAACAAGTTTACCAAAGCAATCCCCTCTCTATGGTGATTGAACTTCCTTGCTAGTGATCCAATCATATTGTTTGGAGTAACTGACCTGAATAGATGTAAAAAAGACTCGACTCCAAAAGCACAGGTTGTAGTCCAATTATGTCCATGAATTATCAGACTAAGCATCTGAATGTCATATGAAGGTTGAATATAGAAATATGTAAGATAAAAAATTTATTGTAGAAAACTTAAAAACACAAATGACTTTCTGTTATTAAGAAGCTTGCATATTGTCACGGGCCTAGGGATTTGGCGCAGCGGCACCGCCCGTGCGGCACCAAGGTGTTGCTTCAACTCGCACAAGTACTCTGGTCAGCCACCACGACCTGCCTTCCCAAGATACATCCTGACTGGTTTCGACCTGCCTTGGTCTCATCAGAGGAACGGATCCAGCTCCCGACTAGTTTGTGCAGGGATGGCCAACTCCCTTCTTCATAGTTAAGTCCACGAGCAGCGACAAACTCCTCAAACTTAACCGAGTTGACCTGGCTAAACTCTGAAGAGGTACCATCCTGTAGTCCTGCACGCCCCTTCCCTGGAACCATTTCCACTCAAGCTCTGCTTTTTGCCAACCAGCATGCGTGTCTTCCATACTCCAAGTGTCTTAGGAATCACTTCGTGACACTCTCCCACCCGAATCCTGCGACGTTACTCCACTATGTCCACTCCTCTCCAAAGTCTACCTCCAAGCGATATGCTCGCCTTCCCACCATCGCTTCCTTGTGCAGCTCTCTGCACTGCACTCGCCCAATGATAGGCCTCGGACCAAGGGGACGTCCACTATTCTAGGATGTGACTTTTCTCCGTCATGCCACCTCCGTGACATCCTGAGCAAACAAGGGCCTCCTGCCAACTTGATACCCGCGTCCCTCTCCATGGTTTGCATCACCCAAGGAGCTCGCACGAACTTTGGTACGTGCGCCTTCCAGCCCTCCAATGCGCAACTTCAATGAACGCTTCTTCTTGGGGAGATGGAGGCTCCCCCCAACTGCATTGATTCCCCATCGACACAACTTCAATGCACCGTCTTCATTCTCAGACCCCTCCCATATTGACGAGGGGGCACACCCCTGTGCTTTTACCCCAAGTCCTGTTCTGATACCATTTGTCACGGGCCTAGAGATTTGGCGTAGCGGCATGGCCCATGCAGCACCAAGGCGTTGCTTCAACTCGCGCAAGCACCCTGGTCAGCCACCACGACTTGCTCTCCTAAGGATACATGCTGACTGGTTTTGACTTGCCTTGGTCTCATCAGGGGAATAGCTCCAGCTCCCGACTAGTTTGTGCAGAGATGCCCAACTCCTTCTTTATAGTCAAGTCAATGATAAGCGACAAGCGACAAGTTCCTCAAACTTTACTGAGTCAACCTGTTTGAACTCTGAAGAGGTACCATCCTGTGGTCTTCCACGCCTCTTCCCTGGAACCATTCCCACTCAAGCTATGCTTTTTGCTAATCAGCATGCGTGTCTTCCATTCTCCAAGTGTCTTAGGAATCACTTCGTGACAATATGCTTTCTATCCCTAACACAGACGGACAGACACGCACACATTAGAGGCAATAGAAGTCGCCTCAAAAAGAAATCATGGATTTTTGGGCTTTATCTCTTGAGGTTTTGTAACGTACCATGGTGCATGAAAATCATTCCTATGCAAGTCTATATTGGTAAGTTATCTATTTGTAAGATTGATTTCGCCTATTTCACTCCAGGACCAAAACTAGCCTCCTCATAACCTTCTGCCTCATAATTATTAGTTATCCATGTTTAAGGAGAGTGGGCAAGGAGGTCGGTCCTCTAGCTACTGAAACATAAAATAAATCAAATAGATTCCTGTTTTATATGAAATTCACTTGCACCAGTTTCAGAAAAGATTCTCAACTTGCAATTATTACTTAAAACTTGGGAAGTTTAAATTTAACTCTTGAAATTTTCAGTTTTATAAAATTAACAACTTAGTCACCTGTTTCATTTTCCGGTCACGAGTTACTTATAACTGATTCATGTTGGACCTTCCATATTCTAATCTGTTCATCAAACACAAATCCTTGATACGTGCCAAGCGGAATTCTTTAGGAAACTCAGGCGATAGCTCCCCCAATCATCAATGCTAAGCTATCCTTTCATCCAGGATATAGTATATTATATACTACTACTTGAAAAGGCTGCAAGCCGAAGTACATTAACTTAGAAGAATTCAATATTTACTGAAGGAATGATGAAAAATCATTTCTTTCTTTATTTACTGTATGGTTCAGAATTCCGTCTCTGGCTACTCATGAAGATGAGAAAAATAATAAACACAAAAAAAGAAAAAAAATGATAAAAAACAAGAACTGACAAATTTTCAGACGTTTGCCAAAATTGAGGGTGCTGTACAATTAATCTACAGAAGAATGCTAGTAATTTGAATGGGGAATTCACCAGATTTGGCAGACCCCAAGATTGCCCAGGCTTTAAAACAAGCTATCAATTTACAACAAATGCTACAGGTGCCACTAACATGACTATGCTTTTGACAGCTTTCCAGGCTGCAGCCTGATCACTAACCATAATTTAGATCAGCAGTCATAATACCAATCAAGTCAGATTTGGAACATTTCGATGACTGTCAGCAAATTCTCGTACTAAACGCTTCAAAATTCGTCCTCCTTTCCCTTGCATATGCCCATGATTACACTTTCCTCCACAGCTTCTGCTCTCAAGATAATCGGTGGCAGCCTCAGCAAGAGATTTGAGCCAAACAGGCACTAAAGATTCCACTTCCCCCTGCTTTAAGTAATCAACAGGTAGAGTCTGCACCTGGTAATGTTTTAAGTAGTTAACTGATGTGATCAAAAGGAGAGACGAAAAAAATCAAAATGGACATGGTGTAGACTCTTATTTAAATAGCATAGTGCACACACAATATAGTCATGAGTCAAATCGACCAAAAAAGAGGCAGATTTTTTAATAGCATAGTGCACCATGATCTGGTGTACAGTGAATAAGTGATGATGTTCGTGTTAAGAAATAATGTGTAGGAAAACTTCAATAAATTCAGGATAGAAAAACTAAAAAATTTAGGCCGAATTGCATTAAACACCCCTTGACTTGTACCATTTTTCATTAAACCCCTTTAATTTTTTTTTTTTTTTTTGGCAAAAAAATTCCCCCTACCTAACCAGGGGGTTACTTTAAAGGGATAATTACTAAAATAACCACCAAGTCAAGGGAGTTTTATGCAATTCACCCAATTGTGTAAATTTAGCTAATATATATATATATATATATATATATATATATATATTATTATTTTTTCTATTACATGTATCACTATACTTTTAGTTTAAAAAAAAACATAAAAAAGTATTCATTGTATAAAATTAACTTTATGTCATTCAAATTTTCTAATTAAGATTCATTTTTGTTGATCTAATCGTTTGATCAAATGCCCATCTCATATACTTTTTATATATACGCAACGTATATATTGAAGATTTAATGGAGGAATTAGTGGAGGAAAATCTTTCAGTAATGACGTTGTTTCCTATTATTGAAGATTTGATGTTACTAGAGGAATCAGTGGAGAAAAAAACTTCCTTGTTTCCTATTTTCTAATTCTTCCATCCAAATTTTTTCTTTCCTACCGAACGAAACATAAGCCTGTAGAATAGTGATCGTATCAGATTCAGTGGATTGAGCATCTGATTAGGCATGTGCAATGGGAACATTCTCTTTGTAAGAAAACTAATTTGCATAGGCAGGTTGTTTGTCCTGAAGATCCCAACAATACTTGACGGTATGATTAGTACGCCCACAGTAAGAATATCTCTGTAGTTCTCTACCTTGATCACAGCCTACCCTCATCTGAGCACTAAGAGGCTCATATTTATACCACACTCATCAGTAGCTGCCATACTATATGCAGAAAACAGAACAGAAAGGAACAAATATGCACTGGATGGAGAAAACAAAATAAACCAGAAATAAGGCTTGCTGGAATGAGTTTAATCTGGCCAGAAAAAGAAGACTGGCTGGAAGAAAGTATATGAACCTGTTGGAAATCATATCTAAAAGTTGACTCAATGATTGTGGCAGATTTATTGGGTCTTCATTATAGGTTAATGTTTAGGGATTTTATACTCTTTATTCTGATTTGATTTGATTCTCTTTATTTTGATTTGATTTTATTCTCTTTCCATATTTGTAATTTTCCTCTTGTATATAATGATAGTCAGGTTTTACCAAGTTATTTTTTGGTATCAGAGCCTTAAACCTACGCCTCCCCCCGTTTCTCTCTCTTTCATCGCCTTTTTTGATCTCTCTCTCTATCTCGTCACAGCCCCTTCCCTCTTTCTTTTTTCCTTTTCTTCACAGATCATCTCTCTTCTTCAGGCCGCTGTTGCGACAGTCCTAGGGGGAGCCAATCTCCTCTAGGTTCGACCCCTGTAGGGGTATTCCCTTAGTCTTTTTCATACACTAAGGGTCAGAAGACGTGTTTGTAATTTTTTTGGGGCTGCTTGGATATTCGGCAGCATTTTCGGATCAGACAGCCGTGTCTCCAACTTCTTGGTTTGATCAAAATCAGGTTTATTCCTCCTTTATTTGAAATTATTGGTGATATGTTGAATTGTTCTATTTAATATTATGACCGATTCAAGTAATAATAAAGAAACTCTCTCTTCGGCGCAACACACACCGGCTCAACGAGTTACTAGTGTGCTGTTGAATGGCCTTAATTTTGCATCTTGGGCGGAAAAGGCAAATCAGGGTGGATTTTAGGTACTGAAAAGAAATGTATGCTCATTCTAGGAATGATGCTCGTATTTTTGAATTATACCAAGATATTGCTAAAGCCTCACAGGAAGGCCTGAATTTGTTTGTAGCTAATTACTTTGGGTATTTGAGATCTCGTTGGGAGGAACTAGCTCAATATAAGCCTCTCAGTGAATTTCCCCCCGAGGCAGCCTCTCTTCTTGTCAAACGTTTTGATCGTCAGTATACCTATCAGTTTTTGATGGGATTACGCCCAGAATTTGAACCACTAAAGTCTCAGATCTTGAATGCATCACCAATGCCATCCCTGTTGGAAGCCTTTGCTACTGTTGATGGTGAAGCACGCAGGCATCGTTTAATTCAGCCCTCAGTTGTTCCTCTACCGGTGTCTGAGCCTATTGGGGATAGTATGGCTTTTGCAGCCAACTTTGGATCACGTACTTCTGGAGGTCAGATTATTTGTCACCATTGTGGAGGGGTTCGACATGTTAAGGCTCGTTGCTTCAAACTTCATCTGAACTAAAGCAGAAAATTTCTAAGAACCGTTTATCTAAGAATCGTTTATCTAGAACTAGTTCTCTCGTACTACTGTTGTTGCAGAGACTCTTGCTACTACTGGTGGATCTACTGTATTTTCTGGACTGAGCCAGCTTCAGTCTCAAATTGGGCAGATCCAGGACCAACTTGGCTCCTTTGCTTCGGTGCTCCTTCGGCTGCTCCCACTGCCACTATTGCTACAGGTACTCCTACTGCATTTCATGTTAAGGCCAAGCAGCCCAATTAGGTTCTGGATTCTAGGCCAAATGATCACATGACTGGTGAGTTATTAGTTTTTTCTTCTAATGTCATACTTGTTACCCAATCTGTGTATCTTGCGGATGGCTCTACATCTTACATTCACAGTAAGGGTGATATTTGTCTGTTTCCTGATATTACTCTTTCATCTATCCTTCATGTATCTAAATTTGCCTTTAACCTTTTATCTGTTAGCCAGCTTGTAAAAAACCTCCAATGTGTAGTTATATTCTTCTCAGATCACTGTCTATTGCAGGACCTTTGTTCGAAGAGAATTTTTGGCAAGGGTTATAAGCGTGATGGGCTTTACTACTTTGGGGAACCACCAGGAACGGGTCTTCAAGCTTTTGTCCTACTTGCTTCTAGTGTTTTTGATGTTTCTTTTCGCACTTTTAGTCTGTGGCATGCACGTTTAGGGCATGTAAACTTTCAGTATCTATGTTTATTGTTTCCTTCATTAAATAAAGCATGCAAGGACCATAAGTTTCAATGTGAAGTTTGTGAGCTTTCTAAACATACTAGAACTAGCTATATTTTTTATATGAGTCGTGCTCCAAGTATGTTTGATCTTATTCATTCTGATGTTTGGGGCCCTTCCCCAGTTATTGCTTTCTCTGGGCATCGATATTATGTGACATTTATTGATGATTATTCTCGTTGTACTTGGGTTTATTTCAAATGATAAAAACCCAGTATAACACTGTTGTCTGTAATATTCGTTCTGATAATGGACGTGAATATGTTTCGAATGAGTTCCGGACTGAACTTAATAAAAAGGGGATTTTACATCAACTCACTTGTCCTTACACTCTTGAGCAAAATGGCGTGGCTGAACGTAAAAACCATCATCTTATGTCTGTGGTCCGATGTCTTCTGAGTGGTATGCATGTGCCTAAATTCTATTAGCATATGGCTGTTCTTACAGCTGCTTTTCTGATTAATCGTACTCCCAGTCGAGTTTTGGGTGGTAAGGCCCCATTTCAAATTCTCCAGCCTGATTATACATTGTTTCACCTTCTGCCTCGTGTTTTCGGCTGTACTTGTTTTGTTCATAACCGTAGTCCTTCTCGTCATAAACTTGATGATAAATCTATTAAGTGTAGTTTCTTGGGGTATTCTGCTATGTCAAAGGGCTATCGTTGTTATGATCCTGTGGCCAAACATATGTATCATTATCTTGATGTGACATTTCATGAAACTGTTCCTTCTTATAGTACTAATTCTGTGGTACATAATTCTCTCTTTTGTGGTCTGGAGAAGGAGATCTCTCCTATTGCCCGTCCTGTTCCTCTCTTTGAAAATCTCACTGTCCTGGAATCTCCTCCTCCATCCATGCAGGGTTCCCCTCCACCTTTGCAGGTTTACTCTCGTCGCCATCGCACTCAACCACCCCTGTTAGAATCATCTTCAGAACCAGGTCCAGGTAACTCTCCTTCTCCTGTGGCTCCTACCATTCCTGAGCATACATCCCGTTATCCTGCCTGTGATCGTCACCCTCTTAATTGGTATGGTTTCTCTAATAGCACTAACCACCCTATTTCCCAGTATGTCTCTTATGATGGTCTTTCAGGTGCATATAAATCCTTCTTGGGCAAGATTGAGACCGTTTCTATTCCTCAATCAGTGTCAGAGACCTTCCAAGATCCCAATTAGGTGTCTGCCATGACAACAGAAATGGATACGTTACAGCATAATAATACATGGGAACTTGTTGCTTTACCTGCTCGGGAGAAAACGGTTGGCTGCAAATGGGTCTTTAATGTGAAGTACTTAGCCGATGGTTCTATTGATCAGTATAAGGCTCGGTTGGTGGCAAAAGGCTCGACTCAGATTCCAGGCAAAGACTTTGGTGCTACCTTTGCTCCTGTGGCAAAGTTGACTTCTGTGCGACTGCTTATCTCCTTGTCTGCTGCCCATTCTTGGCATCTACATCAGTTAGACACCAAGAATGCATTTCTTAATGGAGACTTACTTGAGACTATATATTTGGATCCACCCCCTAGATTTCGGGCTGAGGGGGAGTATGTTGGGAAAGTCTGTCGGCTGCGGAAGTCTCTTTATGGTCTGAAGCAATCTACTAGAGCTTGGTTTAGTCGTTTCAGCGATGTTGTTCTATCCATGGGCTTTGTGCACTGCCACTCAAACCATACTTGCTTTATTCGACGTCGCTATGATGGTCATTGGTCGCTGCATTATGTTATTGGTATATGTGGATGATATCATTATCACAGGTGATGATGCTTCAGGGA